CTTTTGTAACTTAATGATAGTATTATTATCGTTGTTGTAGATTAAGGTGCAAAAAGGCGAGTTCAACTTGGTTAATGGAAAGATTGTGATAAGGTATATTAAGGCTAAACCCTTCTTTCATTTTGGCATGATCTCATAACTACATGAGTTTGATAACGAGGCATAAAGAGAAGTTCGTATTCGTGAACTTATGTACATTATCATAGTCTCATAAGTTACAGTATTCTCCCTTATCGGGACTTTATATTCAGTTAAGTATTGTCTTCTTCCACGTACCGAGACTTATAGGGCCGGACATTTATTTTACTTACTATATTGAGAGAGTTGAGTCAGTATCAGCAGGTAAGTATATCTCCAGATCATTTTTGACTCCCAGTTACTTTCAGTTATTATATTATAAGTTAAGTTTCAGCTTTCAGTTATTTTATTGCCTTACATACTCAGTACATTATTTCGTACTGACGTCCCTTTTCTGGGGATGCTGCATTACATGTGTGTAGGTTCAGATAGACAGACAGGTAGACCTCCTCAGTAGTTGTTGCCCGTGTTCAACGTGATCGTAAGCTCCACGTCCTTTGGAGTTTTCAAGTCCAGGGTTTCGTGTACATCTTTTGTATATATTTATATATGTTATGGGTAGGTCGGGGCACTGTTCGGATCACAGTACATCCATCACTAGAGGCTTGTAGACATATCATGTTAGTTAGTGCAGTATGTTGGCTTGTAGGCCTTGTATGTATACTTTGTTGGTTTGTCAGCTGTAGTAGTTATGACGGCCTTGTCCTCCTAGCTTGATATTGATGTTTAGTCAGCGCTAGTTTCCATTCAGTTTTATATTTTGCTTCGCAAATTGTCTTGCAATGTGGCCCCATGGCCAAAGTATGACATTTTATATTTAGAGTCCCTCGGTCGCAAGTTGGTACGCTAGGTTAGGTGAGGCACCGGGTGCCGGTCTCGCCCCCTGGGTTCGAGGGTGACAAACTTTGTATCAGAGCAGTTCTGTCCTAGGGAGTCTACAAGCCGTGTCTGGTAGGGTCTTATTTATAGATGTGTTGTGCACCACATTATATAACTAGGGAAGTATAGGGCATTTAGGAGTTGGTTACCTTTCTTTCAAATTTGAATCGTGCTGTAGAGCTGAGTTATAGGAAATTTGAGTTAAACTTACGTGTTGGTCTGTGCATGCACAGATGACGGTGACTCGAAAGACTACGGTTAGCCTAAGGAGAGATACAGTAGCATGTGAGGGGACCAGTAGGGTACCCCCAGTAAATGGGGCCCATTCTGAAGCCCAGGGCGAGACCCCTACTCAGCCATTACCGGCTCCTCCTCCACTTGAGGATATTCCTATGGATACCGCACATTCAGTTCCTTCTCCACTTTCGTCAGATCAGGACTTGAGGAGTGCGGTGCATAGCAACAAGTTAGGGTATCAGCTAGTGCAGGATCATATGAGGGGTTTGGGAATTCAAGGGTCCGAGAGTTTATTGCTTTGTCCCCTAGAGTTCATGGGGACAGATTAGAGGGAGGACCCGCAGGATTTCATAGATCAACTTCATAAGATCTTTCGGGTTATGCATGCCTGATATGCTCAAATTATACTTTAAATAAATAGTGTAAGGCGGTCTGTGTCAAATATAATAACCCAACAAGGTTGGGGTCGAATTCCACAGGGAATAGGTGTGAAAAGGTTACTTGAGTAGTGTGAAACTTGACTTAAGTCGTAATTCTACTCCTTTAGCTTAATAAAAGAATGATATAATTGTGATTTACCAAGATAACTATTTTGTTGTGAGAATGTTTTTAATTTGATTAAGGAAACCAAGGTTGTGTCCCCATCAATAAAATGTAATGCTATCGTTGTTAATATGATATATTTCTAATGGAAGGTCCTTTGATATGAAAATGTTTTCTAAATGACTACCCAATATTTTCCAATGGTTGGGTAGTATTTTCTCTTTATGATTTTCCCAAATATATAATAGTTGCAATTAAGAACAACCAATTTATGCCAAGTAGAACTCACTTATTCCTAAGCGATTCTATTAAACAAGGTTTAAAGTCTTGAGTTCTTGATATTCACTTCTACCAAATCCTAATCCACTTTTCCAAGTAAAGAAAGAGTAAAATGGAATAAGTTAATATTTGCAACCACCAACAATAAAGAAAGCACAAGAAATGAATAAATATCAACCAACCATTATATATATATATATATATATATATATATATATATATATATATATATATATATATATATATATATATATATATATATATATAT